TAGGGCTCAGGTGTTCAGAGTTTAAGGTTTAGGGGTGTTGGGTCTCGGTCTCAGAAATAATCTTGCACAAAGCTCGCTGTCAAACGTGCAAGCTTGGGGGTTACTTTTCGTACGGGATGAGCGGTGGCGGATTTCCAGAGATGTAGGGTGTCTAGGGGATGATTGCTTTTGAGGCATGATTTGGGTTTTAGCAGCGCGAAAGGCATGTGGGGGTTACGGTTTTTTGCCTGCACTCTCAAAACCTTAACCCTCAGCATCCACATTGACTTCGTGCTTCGCCCGAGAACCGAACTCCGGACACCCCAAAACCTAAACGACGACCTGCACCGTAAGCCCCAGAACCCTGAACCCTAAAACCCCAATGCGCCACAAAACACAATAAACGTCGATGAAGCCCTGATAAACCCGAAACCCTGCACCCAAAACCCAAAACCCTAAAACCCTATTCCAAACCCTAAACCCTAAATCCTAAACCTTATTCCAAACCCTACACCCCAAAACCCTAAACCCTATTCCTCTTCCATATTCTTAACCCTAAACCCTATTCCAAAACTCCAAGCCCCCAAACCTAAAACCTCAACCCCGAAGCCCTAAGAGTCTCGAACACTGATCCAGAATCGTGTGCGGGAGACCTGGCCGAGTCGCAAATGACGAGGCCTCGAGGCAAGACAAGTTTAGGAGCCGTAGCAAGTAAGGTTTGGGGTTTAGGGTTCAGGGTAGGGCAGAAAAGATGACCGCGAGAGTTTAGGGTTCAGGGAGTAGTGGGCTTATGGTTGAGGGTGTAGGGTTTAGGTTTTAGGTTTCGGGGTAGGGTAGTATAAGCAGGGTCTAAGGTACCATGAACCCTAAACCCTAGGCTGTTCATGGTCCGTTGTTTGATAATTGTAGCAGGCAGCCAATAATTCAGACCCCTGTCTCAAGCTTTGGGTTGAAAGTTTGGAGAGGATTATAAAGCTCAGGAAATACAGGGTGTAGAACTAGGGAGCAGTAAGGGAAGTCTCTGTATGGTTTCGGGGGCCCTTGTTGGGAAGGCTCAGGAGGGCTTTGGAGAGTGCTTGGCGACATGAGGTTTTCAGGGTTTGGCTCGCGAGAGGGAGGTGGTAATCCTTGCAACCAAGTCTAATATACGATCCTTAATGGTTTGAACCCCGGGGTTCCTGAAAAGGGGTCTATATGGGATCTGTAAGAGGGTTCTAGAATGTAGGAGCCAATCATTTGAATAAGGTTTCGTGTCCCATCATACTATGACGTATACCCAGACCCCCGGAAGGATCCAAAAAGTAGCTAGGTTCGTATAAAGCCTTAGTAGTTTGGGGCCCCAAATTAGGGGATCTACTTTCTAGATCCTGCCGGTGGTCTCGGTAATAAGGAGCCCCCTCAAACAGTATTAGTAAGTCTTCAGTCACCCAGAGTAAGTCTCTCAGGATCAGGTGGCTTGAGTTGGGTGAGTGCGGTGACCCGGCGAGCCTTAGCATTACTTCAAGACCCCATCCCGTTTTCTCAACATCCACCCACAAATCCAGTCCAATTAAGCACCATAAAGCCAATATCCCGATGTTAGCGGCCTAGAATACCGTATAAGCTACTAAACCTCAGACCGAAAACCATGAGCCCTACGAGACAAAGGTCCAGACGGAGCTGTAGGTCCAAGGACTCTCCAAGGAAGCGTTCTCACCTCAGAGCTGCAGTTTCTAAACCCCAAACCTGTAAACCCCAGAGCCTGCAAGGCGAACCTGCTTAGGATTTACGGCTCAGGGTTTTACCCTCATATTTTGGGTCCTATCACTATTTTGCTTAAGGCATAGGATTCAGTCAGGGTTTAGGACCTTAGGATTCAGGGTTTAGAGTTTAGGGTTTAGGGTTTATAGGGCTGGAAACCCTGCAACATCCTGAAGGTTTAGGGTTCAGGGCTTGGGGCGAATGTTCGGGTGCCCTTTCTCCTGCTATGCAGTTGCCGCGGGACCATCGCACCCAAAACGAAAGTCTACACAAGGGCGCTTGAGTCTAAAAACCGATGCAGAACCCTATAAAACCCTGTAGAATCCTGTATGTAAACGCCTCTAAGACGCCCTCACCCCCCTTAAAAAAACACAAAAAGCATTGTGCTACTTGGGAACCGAGTCCAAAGCAAGTATCATGAAAGAGCCCTTATAGAACCCGTCTTGGAACCCATATGAAATTTGGGAATCGAGTGAAGGAGCCTTACAAAGCCTAAACGCTTGATAAACTTCTAAACCCCTCATACATCCTGAACCCTAAATCCTAAACTTCTACACTCTAAACCTTGAAGCCCCAAAGCCTCAAGCCCTAAACTTCAACACCCTAAAACCTGAAACCGCTGAAACACCCTAAATCCTGGCCCAGAGCACCCCCCTGAGGCTCGCGGCAGGTCACCTTTATGCGAGCCTGCTCAGGGTATGTAAGGGGTTTAGGGTTCAAGGTCTAGGGTATGCGGGGTCTAGGGGTTTAGGGTATAGGCCTTAGGGGGCTATGTATGGGGCATAGGGTTTAAGGTTTAGGGTATGTGGGGTTTAGGGTTTAGGGTATAGGGCTTAGGGGGTTATGTATGGTGCTTAGGGTTTAAGCTTTAGGGTATGTGGGGTTTAGGGTTTAGGGTATAGGGCGTATGGGGCCTGGGGCTTAGGGTTTAAGCTTTAGGGTATGTGGGGTTTAGGGGGGTATGTATGGGGTTTAGGGTCTAGGGTATGTCGGGTTTAGGGTATACATGGGCATTTCCGAAAATAGGGGACCCTAATATAACATAGTACCCTGAATAGTAGGATCCTTACTATAAGGGCCCGAAAATAAGGTACTCCTAATTTTCGGAAACCCCCACATGGGCTTTAGGGTTTTGGGGGCCTTGCCCCAAGGCTTTTGCAGAGCTCGGGATGAAATGCTCAGAGCTTGAAGGGCGAGACGGGTTTACGGCACGGTGTATATGGGTGGCTGTCAAAATTAGGGTCCCTTTTTGGGTCCCTATTATAATACGGCACCTTACATTTAGGGTACCCAAAAACGGACCATAACTTTGACAACTACCCATATGGGGCTTAGGATATATCGGGGTTTAGGGCTTACGGTATATTGTATAAGGTAACGACAGGGTGTAGCTCGGTGCTGAAAGGGTCTAGGATATGCATCTGGCTCCCTTTCTGGAACAAGCCCTCCGAACATCAAGATTCGGAGCTGATTTAGGGTTGGGTGTTGTGCATATCGGAACTTGCGGCCTACTTGCGCTTCAGCTCGCTCCGCGTCGCTGGGGCATTGGGCTGCACGGATGGTCCCAAGTGCATAAGAAATCAGGGTTTAGTGTGCTTTATGGCTTCGGCTTCGGGTTTACATGCTACTGGTCTGAAGGATCAGATCCGCGAGTGGAACACTACTACTAGCAGAAGTAGTAGTAGTAGTAGTAGTAGTAGTAGTAGTAGTGGTGGTAGTAGTAGTAGTAGTAGTAGTAGTAGTAGTAGTAGTAGTAGTAGTAGTAGTAGTAGTAGAGTAGCAGTAGCAGAAGTAGTAGTGGTGGTGGTGGAAGCAATTGTGGTGGAAGAAATTGTGGTGGTGGTGGTGGTGGTGGTGGTGGTGGTGGTGGTGGTGGTGGTGGTGGTGGTGGTGGTGGTGGTGGTAGTGGTAGTAGTGGTAGTAGTAGTAGTAGTAGTAGTAGTAGTAGTCGGTGGTTTTTTCTACCACAACAACAACTACTACTCTACTGCTACTACGACTTCCACCACCACCACCACCACCACCACCACCACCACGACCTCTACCACTATCACTACGACTACCACTACGACTACTCTACTACTACTACTACTACTACTGCTGCTACTACTACTACTACTACTACTACTCCTACTCCTACTCCTACTCCTACTCCTACTCCTACTGCTACTGCTGCTACTGCTACTGCTACTGCTACTGCTACTGCTACTGCTACTGCTACTGCTACTGCTACTGCTACTGCTACTGCTACTACAGCTGCTACTAGCTCTTACTACTACTAGCTGCTAGCTGCTACTGCTACTGGCCCTGCTGCTACCACTCATGCTACCACTGCACTACTGCTAGTACAGCAGATAACCCGCCCAGTGGTTTCATGGTGGATCACCAGCTATAGATCAACTGCTGAGCTTCAAAGCTGGATCTGTGTTTCGGGATCGCCTCAGTGATGGGCCGGTGCCTGTTCTTCAGGCACAGACTGCTTCACGGCATTGCCTTCGCTGGTGGCTGCAGCTGATCGTCGAGAAAGGATCCTTGGCCACACCACCGGAACCGGGGGATCGAAATCCTCGCTCAAGAGGAACACGAGGGCCATGTGCGCCGGAATAATTACCTGAACAGCACGTGAGGCGATGAGGAGTGAAAACAGAATCCAGTTGCGAACGGCTGCGACGACGCCTGGTAAACTATACTGATACCCAAACAGATGATGGAGCCGTGCGCCGTCAGGGGCCCCACATTTTGCTTGACGCATGACATGCCTGACAAAGCACTCCGCAAAATGTTACTTCGGGGTTGTCCACCAAGTTGCACCCATAAACACAAGATAATGCAGCCCACCTTGACCTATGAGACAATCCTTGTAGCAATTCACATGAGCAGCCGGACCACAAGTGGTGTCTGTAACTGCCAAGAATACGTAAGCCAACAGAAGCAGCGTCGCTCCAATACACCCGATGCGGCAAATGAAAGCTCGAGCTTTGAGCGGCCCGCAGCTTGCAAGTAGCCACAAACCACCTGGGAGTTTTCGAAAATAGGGGACCCTAGTTTCGCACCCTAAATCGTAGGAGCTTTATTGTAAGGACCCAATAATGAGGTATCCCGGTACCCCTTATTTTTCAGAAATCCTAAACCCTAAACCCTTTAGAGCACTCTTATAGATCCCCCTAAGGAACTTGACCTAAACCCTAACCCCCTAAGGAACTTGACCTAAACCCTAAACCCTTACAGAGTCCCTTAAAGGAACCCTGATAGTACCCTTATAGTAGCCCTTTAAAGGAACCCTAAGGTACCCCTTTCAAGCTCCCACCTGAGTAGAGAGCTCCGAGCCCCATGAAGCAGGCCAAGAGGAGCAGGCTCAGAGTATCGGACAACGAGGATGCGGTGAGAAATCCTGCCAGCGACCCAAGCAGATATAGGATACCTGGGTTGTAGTTGGGGGGTATGTTAGGGTTCCTTTAAAGGGCTATTATGAGGGACTATAAGGGTTCCTTGAAGGGGCTCTGTAAGGGTTTAGGGTTTAGGTCAGGTTCCGTAGAGGGATCTATAAGGGTTCTATAGGATACCTGGGGTTTAGGGTTTGAGGTTTAGGGTGTAGGGCTGATATTATAGGATGCCTGGGTTGTCGTGTTGGGGCTCTGGAAAGAATTTATGAATAGGTACCTCTATGGGAAAATGAAGGAAAATCAACAAGTTTCCCAAATTGCCACCTAGATACTCAAGATCCACACACTCTCCCAATGCTTTGATGGCCAAAGCGACTCGCCCATGCCATTGGCTTCCACGAGCAGCGGGCCCAACGATGTAATGGTAATCGCTCGTGCTATCAGAGCCATTGCGGAGCCATCCTGGGATGCTATGAGCTGGAGAGTGATGCCTTTTGGTTGAGGGTGTGAGTATCGACAAAGGGATCAGAAGCACAACACCATGGATGACGAATACTGTTTTAGTAATGCTGGTTGACAATCCCAAAGGGTCCAAGTAATGGTATAGTATATACTTTGGGGGCCAAAATACCTATTACAATGGTACTTGGACCCTTTGGGAATGGTTAACAATGCTTAACGATGGTCCATCATGGTTGCTTATTGCCAAGCATCCTTCTCGGTGAAAATGAGTGTCGCAGCTCCTTCCACGGCGCTGCCAATGCCAGCGAGAGCGAGGTAGAAGTAGCAGATTTTCCTCTTCAAAGTGACAGGGCCTCCTTTAAAAAGACAGGCAAGTATGACAATTACCCCTGTGTGGAGCACCGCAACGGCTATGTGAATAACGCCTCTCACGGTCTGGGCTGCAGGAAACAAATAAGGATCTCTGATGATGATATCCCCCAGTTTTCCTCCTTCATTCTCATACACGCACTCCATGGCCGCACCGCCGGGATTTTTGCTACATCACTGCACCGCTGATGTTGAGCCGTAGGTCCAAGGGACCCTTAATACTTAATAAGGACCCCTGGCTATATACCCTTCATATAGCTATTATATACCCATTATTATATAGCCCATTATAGGGTAGGGGTCCCCATCAAGGCTCCCTCCTTTTCCCATTTGAGTAGGAGATCGCTCGAAACTGGCCTCATGGGTTCTGACGTCCCAAACGCGAAGAAGCTCCTTCCAAAAGGCGACCCTGAGGGTCCTTTCACCTTAACCCACTAGACCCAAGAGTAACCTAGGAGTAAACAGGCTGCCCTTTTTGGTTTTATAAAGGGGCTTACAAGGGAACTTGAACCTAAAAAACGGGAATAAGGGCCTACTCTAGGTTAAAGCCCTGGTAGGCATTCAACCAGCCTGAAACTGCTGCACCCCGATACACGGAAACTCCGAACCAGGGCAAGTGGGGGTGGGGTAACACCCCGAGCTCTACAGACGAGCCCTGCCAGCGCCTGATATGTCGTATCCGGTAGAAGCTCCGCCACTTCGCAGGACTTGGAAAAGGTGGAATTTGGGGAAACGCATGGATTTGCTGCAAAGGTTTGGCTTTAAGATCCAGTAGTAGAGGTTTGGTGACCCCAACCTACACCCTGATCCCGGGCTTGATTTTCGCGGGGGTTGAGGATATAAAAGTTCAAGGCGCGCGTTTGGGATTTGAGAGCTTAGTGTTTGAGTCTCTTTGGCTTCGGATGATGACTTGTTGTGCAAGAGTTTACGATCTGCTTCTGCTCTTGGATGTTTGAGCTTCGACGCCTACAGCAACCGATGGATTTGCAGGTTGGGAAGCTTTCCCGTGAGGCTCTTGCAAAGATCACAAAGACTTCAGCATCAAACGAAATCGACGGTTGAAGAAAGGAAGACCCAAACCCTAAACGGCCCTAAACCGTAGGAAAGCCTTGCTGAGACGAGATGAGACCCTAAACAAATTAGCAACAAATGCCTCGTGAGAAATGAAGGTCGCCAAAGTGCTGAAACCTGACTTAACAAATCGCAAACGAACAACACCAACAACGCAACACTTCAACACCTTAGCGAGACCATGATTTAGCGCTTCGCAGTCAGTGCTTTCGCGGATCTAGATCTATGCAGGCTTTAGCTCCCGACGTGTGTTGCCGCCAATCCGAAGCAAGGGCTTCCCCCAAACCCAATGCCCCTCACCGCAAGGTAAGGAATCCCCAACACGGAAAACCCACAGCCGAATCCCAACAGTTTGAACCCGATGCCCGTATCGCCAAACCCAAACAATTTTGTTCGAAGTAGTTATACTCAAACCGAGCCAGAAAACCCTTCGCTTGTCAGGATTCGAGCGACGACTGCAGCCGATTGGAGGCTCTGTGCAGGGTTGCTGGAAAAGCCCTTGTTTTGTGTGTTGCCTGGGCCGTCGAGCCATAAACCGGGGCTGCCGTCTTCGTGTGGCAGCGGAGCCTCGGTGAGATCCGGGGACCTTGGGGCGCGCAGCGGCGGCTGAGCGCGGTGGTGCTGTTCCTGACGTCGATTCAGGGTTACCTTTACGGCATCTCGGCGGCGACCGGGACTTCGTGCATTACCCGATTCAGGAGGGCGGGATCGGAAGCGGCTTGAGTCAGCAAGCCCTGCATTTTTCAGAGCCTCATGGCCGGTCTCAGCTCGTACTATGAGACGCTTGGGGAGACTTGGGAGTTCGAAGAGTCGCGTTCTGGGGACTCCGAGAACTCAAGCGAAGGGCGTCTCAGGAATCGCTGGTCGCGGCCGGGCAGCGCCGCAACGGGCGGCATCAGCAGCGACTCCGTCTTTGAGGAGAAGGCGGCGACGGGCGACGAGCGAGGCTGGAGCTCACCATGGGATGGGTGGGCTGAAGATGGATCCTGGCAGGGTACCCCTGCGAGGTTGAGTGCTTGGCGGGAGGAGGAGAATTGGAGCTACGCGGTCCAGCGGCGAGATCGTCCTCGGGACCGTCGGTGGGACAATGAGAACTGGAGCTTCACGGGCTCCGGTGGGGGACTGCGACAAAGAAGTGGTCACGGGGACTATGAGAATTGGAGTTGGAAGGATGGCTGCGACGCCGACAGCAGCGTAGCTACGCCAAGTTGGGGGAACTGGGAGGTGGACTATGTGGACAAGAAGAAGGAGGCCGGCTCGGAGGCATCGTCTATGGCGGCGATCGAGGAGGAGTCCGACAAGGCCTCGAGTGCTAAACTGGTCGGGGAGACTACGGAGAAGAAGCCTCCTGGCAAAATCAGCAGCTCATATCCTCCGATCTTCAAGGCCAAGCCGGGCGAGAGCTTTGTCGAGTGGAAGAGGAGTGTGGAGTTTTGGATTGGAGGGGAGGGGAGTCAACTTCCAAGTGAGCTAGTGGGGCCCAGGATGATGGTTCAGTTGAAGGAGAGGGCCGCTCAGCTGGTGAAGCACCTGAGCAATGAGGACGTGAACAAGCCCGACGGCAAGAAGGTCATCCTGGCGGCTTTGGAGCGTTCTCCGTTGATCCGGCAGTTGGACAAGCATCGGGTCGATGAGCACCGGCGCAGAATGATGACCTTAAATCGCGCGCCGGGGGAGTCCATGGAAAGTTACGTCACGAGGGCGTCGATCTACCGCACCCATTTGCTGGCCATGGACGAGAGCATGGCAATGGGGGAGGCCTTCTTTGTGGGCCATTTGGTCGACCACGCCCACTTGACGAGGCGTGACCGGGCTATGGTCAAGACGAAGGCGGGCAGCGAGACTGACGAGCTCCTCGTGACGAACGCCTTGATCGAGCTGGCCTGCGAGCTTGAGGGCGAGAGTGGCTACCCGATTGGAGCGTCCGAGCCGAATGCCGCTCGAAACGGAGAAGAGTGGCTGTTACAACGAGGAGAAGGGCGGGGTGGCCGCCTGACTCCCAATAAGCCGCCACGTGGAGTGTTTGCGGCTGACGTGGCGGGGCCAGACCTCGAGGAGAGTGAGGGCAAGACGGAGGATCCCGGGGAGGATTCGCTGGATGAGGGGGATTTTCCCCCTGAGTTGGCTTCGGTGGTGAACGAGGCGTTCGGGATCCAACACCGGGCCAAGCAGAAGATTGCTGAAGTGAAGAAGCTTCGGCAATATTACAGGCGGCCCGACCCAGAAGAGCGCAAGAAGGCACTGGCCGAACAGATGCGGAAGCACCCCTGTCATGCGTGTGGGCAGTATGGTCACTGGAGCCGCGAATGCCCTACGGGTTCCAGAGCTCAACCGGCCCTGCAGAGCCACCATGGCCCGACGCAGGCGGTGCTTGCAGCCACCTCGCGGAAGGTTCCCTCTACCAGTTTGCCGACGGTGGGCGAGGAGGATGAGTGGGAGCTTTTGGCTTCGATGTGCCGCTCCGGTCTCAACCCTGCGATCGCAGCCGAAACGGGCATGCAGCGAGCAAGCTCCTCTTGGCAGTATAAGGGGGAGGGTCGGGACCAGGGTCATCATGTCTTTGCGGCCATCAGCCACCCCATCAATGAGATCATGTGGTCGGTCAAGGATTTAAGCGCTCTCAATGACATCTTGTGGTCCATGAAAGATTTAGCCTACAAGGTGATTTTGGATCTGGGGTGCATGCGTTCGGTCGCGGGTCTTGAGTGGATCAACATGTTGGTCAAGCGTTGGAAGGGTGAAGGTCGTTGGTGCCAGGTGATGGAAGAGCGGGAAGCTTTCAAGTTTGGGGACGGCGAGATACTTCATAGTCGCTTCAGGGTGAACTTCGTGGGGAGCTTTGCGGGCAAGCCGGTGGTGTACGGTTTCAGCGTGGTGCCTGGTAGCTGCCCCCCCTTGTTCTCTCGTTCGGGATGCACACAGATTGGGGCAATCATTGACTGTGAGCATCATCGAGTATCTGTTCGCAAGTTGGGAGTGTCGGCTTATGGGGTGGGGCAAGAGACAGGACATTACACCATGCCAGTTGATGAGTGCGACAGCGGAAGTGTGCAGCTCCCTGAAGATTATCGCCTCCCGTTGCACCAGGACATTGCTGCTGTGAATGCTGAGATTTTGGGTGCTCAAGCTGACCCACTCAATTCGCAACCCACCGCTGGCGTGCATGGCGTCTGCGTCGATCCCTCGATGTCGGATTTGTCAGAGCAGCGACCACAAGACCCGGGACTGCCCGCAGGTGGACTCCGACGACGACAGCTTCCAGATGACCTACTCGATGGACCTGGACGCCGGGGAAGATCGAGACCGGCCGCGCAAGGCGACGACTGTCCGAGGAGCCCGACCGAAAGCCGTGGCGACTCCATCGACCAAGAGCAAGGAGACCACCCCGGAGGAGCCCGAGGTGAAACAGCTGACCCCCGAGGAGGCGGAGTTCATCCGAAAGAGGCGCGAGAAGCAGAGTGCCTCGAAAGCTCGCGCGCAGGACCGCAAGGCTTTGACGGGGGAGTTGGCGGCATACCCGTCTCTGAGCCACTGCTGGAGCGAGGAGCTGGGGCTGAACATCGCCGGGGCAACAGCGAGCCGTATGAGAACATGGTGCTGGAAGAAGATGGTGTGGATGGTGAGGATCCGGGACGCCGTCGAGCGGGACGGCGACAGGAGGTGGAAACGCAACAGGAGATGGCTAGCGGGACTCATCGGGAAGGAGATCGCCGCGCTATTCGGCCATTTCGGGTCGATGAGGCAGAAGATGCACGACCCAACCATGGCCCGGCTGATGTGACGGGTGGGGCTAAGCGCCCAAACCGGGGAGTGACGCAGAAGCTGAAGAAGGGCGTGGCGGCGGGTCTCGATGGCATCCACCTGCTCCAGAAGGCCGTTCAGGACGATGGCAAGTGGGTCCTCCTGGAGGTTTTCGCAGGCACGGGCCAGTTGACGAGGCGGGCCAAGGATCGGCCTGGGTGGCGGGTGCTCGAACCGATCGACCTCAACACCGGCTGGGATTTGAGTGTTCCAACCTGCAGGGCCTCGCTCCTGAAGTTGATCGAGGACCAGCAGCCGGACCTGGTGACGATGGCGCCTTCGAGCGGGCCGTGGAGCACGTGGGAGGCGCTTTGTGAGGATGCGGACGGTTTGTATGAGCGCCGGCGCCAACAGCTACCCCTTTGGAAGATGCTTGGGGACATCTGGGCGCTACAAGTTCGAGGCCGACGCTTGGCTTTAGTGGAACAGCCGGCTCAATCTCGTGCTTTTGAGTTGGAATGGATGCGAGAAAGGGAGGACGTGACCCGAGCCGTGGTGCACCTGTGTCGGTTCGGCCTGCGCGACCCGGAGAACCACAAGCCCTTCAAGAAGACGACCATCCTGGAGGTCAACAACCCGATCATGGCGAAGGACTTGGTGAAGGGCGCCTACTGCCAGCACCGCCTGCAGGAGCACCAGAGCATCAAGGGTGAGTGTAAGATGGGGGAGATCACCCGGAAGCGGTCTGCTGTGGCCGCCGAGTGGACTCCGGCCTTTTGCGATCACATCTTGGATGCGGCAGAGACTGCGTTGGGGGCCCCCATAGCGCCGGGCATCAGTTGGTCTTTGGCGGCCGAGACAGTCGGACCCAACTGGGAAGCGGCACCGGTCACTAGCGGGAGCACTGCCGAGGAGAATGTGCGCGAGCAGCTGGCCAAACACGGGATGACTGGGAGCCGCTACGACTATATTACCTTCGACGGCGAGGAAGCCCAACAACCTCGGCGCCTCAGGGCCATGGTCGCCCATGTGCATGTGACGCTGGGACATCTGTCCAATGATCGGTTGGCACGCATGTTCATTTTGAGCGGGGCCCAGAAGGGGGTCATTGCGTTGGCGAAGTCCTTGCGTTGCCAGATTTGTGCGATGGTCCGGCCCCCTGGACAGGTGCCTAAGGTGTCGTACCGGAAGCCCAAACAGTTCAATGAGCGGGTCTCCGGGGACACTTTCTTCGTGTGGGACGCCGACAACAACAAGTTCGCGGTGGTCCACTTCTTGGACGCCCTTACGGACTATCACATCGGCGACCTCACTGAGAGTTTGACCTCCAACTTTGCACGGGAAGTCCTGACTGACTTGTGGTATGGAGTGTTTGGCCCACCAGACCACTTGATCACGGACGGCGGGATGGAGTTTCGAGGGTCCGTGGAGGCGCTGAACTCCCTCTTCGGCGTGATTCACGAGGTGGTGCCGGAGGGTGCGAAATGGCGAATGGGCCAAGCGGAAAGACATGGAGCCGTGGCAAAGCTGATGATCATGCGAATGGTTCGGGAACTACAACTTCGTGGCGCCGGGGAGATGCGACGGGCTGCCATCGCGGCGTTTGCGGCGAAGAACCGGACCTGCAACGATGGAGGCGTTTCTCCCATGCAGGCCGTCACCGGAAGGAATGTGATGCTGCCTGGCTCGCTCATGGACCAGATCACCTCCGGCCGAGTACGTTTCAGGTTCAATGAGGCGGCGACGAAGAGCGAGGCCGTGGCACGCGCCGAGCGCATTCGCGCAGGGGCGGTGGAATCCTTCCATTGGCTGGATGCGCACCAGGCACTTCGGAAGGCCCTTTCGGCGAAGTCACGACCGCCAGACTTGGAAGGAATCAAGGAGGGCACCGTCGTCTATGTGTACGAGCCGCCACCCTCGCGGCGAGGCTTGGCTAGGCGCCTGCAAGACAACCTCAGCTGGTCCGGACCGGGCGTGGTGGTCTGCGTCGAGAAGGATGGGGAGATCCCCCGGCGGCTCTGGGTGCGCTTGCGTGGCAAAGTGAAGGCGTACCCCCTCGAGAAGGTCAGGCTTGCCACCGCAGATGAAGCGACCAGTGCCCAGTTCATCACGGAGGCCCTGCAGGAGGTTGAGGCAGAGCTGCGGGGCGGCAACCTCCTCGTCGACAACCCCGAGGAGCCGGCGCCAGCAAAGCCAGTGGCGGCGGAAGCGGGGAGCTCCTCGAGTTCGTCCTCGAGTTCCAGCGATGAGGCAGATGGGGCAGATCAAGCTGAACCTGCTGACGACGAGGAGGCCGAGCGAACCGAAAGGCGAGCTAAACTGCTGGAGGATGTGCCCTGGTCTGTCAAGCGCACTCTGGCGGATCGGCGCCAGCAGCAAGGGGACGAGGCCTGCGACCCACATGAGTTGGACTTCCAGAAGAAGCAGCGGCTTTTCGAGAAGCTATCCAAGCAGTTTGGAGCGCCTTCGAAGCTGCAGGAGGGCGATTTGCGACACCGCATGGAGAATGCGTATGCCAAGGTTCGGGCGGTGAGGAAGGTGATTCGCCGGCCGAAGAAGGACCAAGCCGCGAGTTCGCGGCAAGCCAAAGGGGAGCGGGCACCCGGGAGACAGGCCACGGCTGAGGTGGAAGTGCTTGCGGCTGAAGGGGAAGTGCCCATGCCGGAGATGACGCCCGGCGAGCTCGAGGCGATGATCCACGACACCATGGGCCAGTGGACGCTGTGGACGGGCAATTCGGCTTGGAACGGCGTGCAGGAGATCCTGGAGGTGAGCGCCGAGATCCGACGCCAAGAAGTGGAGGGCGTCACGGAGGTGATCACAGGCCGAGCTCGATCCGAGTACAAGTGGGGCGAGTTGGACAGCACGTGGAAGGACGCTTACGTCGCCCCGCTCAAGAAGGCCATCCAAGTGTACGTGGACCACGGGGGAATCAAGGGAGTGCCCCAGGGACAGATGGTGGATCCAGCTCGGATCCTAGGGTCCAGATTTGTTCTGACCAACAAAGGTGGCGAGGATCTGGCGGCAGCTGAACTACGGGCCAGGTGGATTTTCGGTGGCCACCGTGACCCAGACGCTGGTTTGTACGCCACATCCTCACCTACGGCGAGTTTGCTGGGGCACAACTTGATAAATTTTGTGGCGGTGCAGAAGCGATGGGTCGTGCACTACGAGGACGTAAGCTCGGCCTTTCTGCAGGGGAAGGAACTCCCGCGTCGGGAGAAGATCTACGTGAGGGTCCCTCGAGGCTATCCCGACGAGGTCGTGAAGTACCTTGTGGAGCAGCTTGGCGCTGATTGCCGGGCCGACTTGGTGGAGCTCACGAAGGCGGGGTTCGGTCTGCCTGAGTCCCCGCGGTTGTGGTACTTGGAGTACAAGGACTGCATCCAGGAGCTGGGTCTCGAAGAGATGAAGCTGATTCCTGGAGTGTTCAGGGCATTCCACAAGCCCCCCCGGCGAGGACTCAGAGCGATGGCCAGCATACACGTGGATGACACTCGCTTCGCTGGAGATGAGACCGCCCAGGAGATCTGGGATCGACTCCGGGCGAGGTTGAAGTTCGGCAAGCATCGCCAAGCGACCGATGGCTGGGTTAAGTTCTGCGGCCGGTGGGAGAGACAAGATCCCGACACCTACGAGATGGAGTACTCAATGGACGAGTACGTGAAGAATATCCCGCTGGCCAGGATACGGAATGACTACGGCGAGCCGAAGACCGAGCCTACCTCAGCGACTACCATCTCTACTTCAAGGACTTCCCCGGTGATCCCGGGAACACAGACGAGTACCCCAACGTCTTCATCGACTTCCTCTCCGATCCCAGGGACACAGACCAGTACCTCAGCATCTTCATCGACCTCTCCGATCCCAGGGACACAGACCAGTACCTCAGCATCTTCATCGACTAACACCACATCTCCGGTTGAGGGGTCTGAGTCGGACATTTGGGAGATTCTACAACGTCGTGTGGTTCACGACGACGGTGACGAACAGCTCACCGATGGCGAAAAGAAGCTGATCAGCTCTTTGGTGGGACAGCTCAACTGGGCGGCGAGACAGGGGAGGTATGACTTGTCGTATGTGGCGTCATTGGTTCAGCAGCTGGCTGGACATGGGAGGAAGGACGCTTTGCGCTGGCTGAACCTGGGGATCAAGCGCGCCCAGGAGAGCCTCAACTTCAAGGTCCGAAACTTCGGATGTGAGCTGGAGGAGATGCTGATTGTCTCCGTCAGTGATGCGGCGTATGGGGCTATGCCTGGGGGACACAGCCAAGGCGGCAATTTGGTACTGTTGGCTCACCCCAGCGTTCTCCGGGGCCTTGGACCGGTCTGCATCCTGGAGGGGAACAGCACCAAGATCCACCGGGTGGTCCGATGTTCGATGTCGGCGGAGATTTCCTCCCTCACGACCTCCTACGAGCACGGGGACTTTGTGCGGGCGTCGCTGGCCGAGCTCATCAATCCGGACTTCGAGCTGACGAGCTGGAAGAAACATGTGGCGCAATGGCCCCATATTCTCACTACGGACGCGAAGACCGGCTACGACGCTATCTCTAGTGAAGCCATGCCGGCAGACAGGAAAATAGCCATCGACGTGGCGGTGCTTCGTCAGGCGGTGCTGGAGGAGGGCATCGGCGCCTTCGTCAGGTGGGTGCCGGGATCCGAAATGGCCGCGGATGGGCTCACCAAATGGGGGCACAACAAGGTGCTGTGTCGTGTCATCGGCGAGGGCGAGTGGGCGCTGGCAGACAATGAGGCAGCGCAAGCACTTAGGCGAGCCGCGGCCCTTAAGAAGGCCAATTGTCGAAAGGGTCTGAAAGACCAGTAGCGGGGCAGTCGTAGCGGCTGTCACCGCGAAGTGTTTTGCCAGGGGGCTCTGGACTCAAACCGAGCCAGAAAACCCTTCGCTTGTCAGGATTCGAGCGACGACTGCAGCCGATTGGAGGCTCTGTGCAGGGTTGCTGGAAAAGCCCTTGTTTTGTGTGTTGCCTGGGCCGTCGAGCCATAAACCGGGGCTGCCGTCTTCGTGTGTTATGAAAACTAGTGTAACCCATTTCGAAGCCAAATTAATGTTCCTATGGAGATCTACATGAACTCACTCCGCGCCGCCTGTGGTTGCTATGCCTTCTAACCCTAAGGCTACGTCTACCCTATATAGTGTACAGTGTACACCTATAGCCTTAACGTACCAAATATATATATATATATATATATATGTATACATATCTGGGAACCCCTTGAAGGCCTAAGTATATACGATATGGGTGCATGAAGCCCTAGGGGAAAGGCTCCAGAAACACCGCAGGTCCAAGACCAGCGCTCTCCGCGACATGTCGACGCAGTCGCCATCGTAGCTCACCTGAGTGCATTACTGTCTATTGTGCTCTTGAATTTTGACTTTAAGTATTGCTATTGATGTGGTTACTGATGGTGTTGTTCTTCTTGCTGTTACTTCAGCTCACAGAAACAAGCCGTTCCCTGCCTCAGAAGACTTGTAGAGTGACATCCTACCTGCACCCGACGAATCCTACCAGTTCAAATTCCTTATGATGAATTCCTTATATATGTTCTATAAAAAACTTTCTGAGCTAAGGCAAATATAGGTTAAACAGATACTAAACTATAGCTATATTTCGAAAACCCTTGCTTTCTCTGCCCCTTGATCTTTCCAGTAAAGCTGGCCCTACATCCCATAAAGCCAAACAACAAATACCCTGTAATAGTGGTATAATAGGAATATGATAGGGCCCTACTATAATCCTTATAGCCACTATTACAGGGTGCGGGCAGCTTCTAAAACTGATGAATTTCTAGTTTCAAAACGTCTGCTAAGGGTAGGACTTTGAAGCCCGGGCTAGGGTTCAGGGTCATGGAAAAGGTTCAGGGGCTTCGGAGGGTTCGTAAACGTAAACCTAATCCAAAAACGAGAATGGCAAACTCGATTTACTAACGCGCTGCTTTCCACCCTACGACACACATCCTGAACCCTGACACTCCACCGCAAGAATGCAGGGCAGACTCATCAAGCTTGAAGCCGCAGCTTTAGTTTCAAGGAAAAGTTTCAGTGGACTCCTGGACACTCAACTGCAACAGCACAGGGGTGTGCTGTACTCTGTGTTGGGACCAGGTCACACCTTTTTTCGTGAGTATTCGATCTTTGTCCTGCTATCTTTTGGATAGCCCGTTTTGACGGCTAGACTAAACGTCTCTGAACTCTAAACCACATCCGCTGGGAATTGGGCCCAATCTGATCCGGGCACAGCGCGCAACTCCAAACGGGGCTGTGCCTCGGCCCGTGTGCTAGATGTGATTTCTTCAAGTTTCCAGGCCTTCAACCATACAAACTGTCCTGAACTCTAAACACTTAACCCTGTGAGCCATAAACTGCAACAAACTCTGAACTAGGAAGTTCTCTGATGGGATGTTATAGGTTTTGGGGCTTCGAGCGCATCGACCATACACTCCTGGACGTTTCCAATCCACGAATCATACTTCTAGTAGGAGACTTAAGGGAGAGTATAGTTGATGGTCAAGCCAGGGTCACATGATTCCGTCCCGAGATTCAGGGTTTTTGAACGGGGTTTATGTGGGAACCTGATTAAGAAACCCTGGGCCTAAGACCCTCGAAAGAGTAGGATTCAAACCTATGGAGCCCTAATGAAGGCCCAAGGTTTCTTAATCACATAATTATAGATCCCTTATAGTAACCCTTATGACCCCTTTGAAGGAACCCTAAACAAAAGGCCCAAGGTTTCATAATCAGGCTCCTACATTAGTGTGGCAGGCCCCATTACAGGCTTTCTTATGTTGGGCTTCCGGGATCCTCACCAAACAGGGTTTATCAGGTGTGGGGTTAGGGTTGAGGTTTTAGGGTTAAGGGGTTGGTTGGGGTTGAGGTTAAATTAGGGGTTAGGATTGAGAGTTTAGTGGGGCCACAGGACGTGCTGCAGCGCACGCGCACGGCCTAGGTTGTTGATTCCTCCTGGATGAGATTGAAGCAGCGGCGCATGACCCTAAACCTTGCGCCCCTAGACCCTGAACCCCAAACCCTGAATCCAAAACCTGCTACCCTAAATCCCAAACCGAAGACCCTTCACGTAGGGGCCCTAAAATTACCAACACTATTCACACTATTCTGGGGGTCTGATTTCTTCTGTTTTTTCGAGTTATCGTATATTATATTATACCCCAAAACCCTCTTCTAATCAGTAAGTCCCCTATGTTAAACCCTATCATGGCCAACCCTAATCGGAACCCCAATCGGAACCCTAGTCGGAGCCCTAATCGGAACCCGAGTTGGGGCATGCATGGCCAACCACTGGACTTTGAAGTAACCAGGGAGAAAAAGTATAGACTTTCATTTCATAATGGTTCCTTTAAGGAACAGGTACCCAAAAAAGTATTCAAGATATGGTACTCCAAACCCAGGACCAGGTTCCCCGCACAAAGACAGTCCCCGATCATTGCCCCGAGGACGTAATCCGCCCAAAAGGTCGTGCGGGTCCTTCGCCAATCGGTGGAGGGGATTAAGGGGTTAGGGTTTAGAAATTTAAGGTTAAGGGTTTAGGGGAAGTTTGCCGGGTTCTTGCTGAGGAACTTCAATCTTGCAGACCCGTTCTACTCTATCGATTCAAACTGACTGCAGCGTGAGGAACGGCTGAGGGTTTAGGGGTGTTTAGGGTTTTTGCTCTTCAGTCGACATAAATAGAAAAATGGGGGAGGATCTCATTTGCAAAAGGCCCCGGTTGTGTAAGCAAATTTCAGCCCCCTGACATCAAGCCACTCTACAGATTCTACATCCAGCCCAAGAGATTCGCGTCTTCATCTTGGAGCTTAGGGCCTTATGTTGAAGGACTTTGTCCGAGCACGTCCAGCTCCGCTGGACACCCCGCAACACCCCTCTGCTACACACAAACCACTATCTTGCACCCGTAGTTGCCAGCACACAGGCATGCATGTTCACGAACATATAGTATACTCATCAAGCAAATTACTTCTACTAAAGTGACCTCTTTAGAAAATCCGGCCCAGTTTGCTTGGGACCGTAACGGACCGTAATGGGGTCAGAAACTGATCCAAATGCAGTGAAACACTTTTAGGCCTAGGGGCTGAGGAATTGAAGTTTCGGTGAAACCAGTGAAGTGCATGCTGCAACGAGGGCCTCACCGGGATCACGGGAGCCACCCAGTGCGACGGCAGAAGCACGATGATGATTCAGGATTTAGTCCTGTTCTTCATGAAGAACTTGTTGCACCACTGCCATGTGAGCTTGTGGTCGACTTGCGCTTTCTGCTCCACGGCAGGCAGGTGTCTGGCCAAGACGTTTATTCTGCAGGCCAGAGCACGGCTGTCCCACTGCAGCTGCACAGTATGCTGCACGGAGACTTTCCAGCCCAAAGGGTCCAAAGTACCTATATAGTAGTATGTAGGGTAAGAGTGTTTTTTTGTTGTGCGTGTTTTTTTGCTGCGTGTGTGCGGCGAGTTTTGTTTTTTGCGGCGGGTGCGTGGCACGTTCAGTTTTTTGCTGCGGGTGCGCGGCGCGTTTTCTTTTTTGCTGTGGGTGCTTCTTTGCTGTGGATGCACCGGGCGGCGGGCAGCGAGTATCCCCGATCAAATGGGGCGTGGGCCGGCCAGTTGGGGGGGCGCGTTCATTTTTTTGCTGCGAGTGCGCGGCAAGTTCACTCACTCAATTGCTGCCCGCCGCCTCTGAGCATCCACTGCAGAAAGGGTCCGGGGCTCGTTATTTATCTTTTGCTGTGGGTGCGCGAGCTCACTCACGACAAGCGGGGATCCGAAGGAGGGCGCCATTCGATCCGTGGATCAGGCTTGTGGTTTTTGAGATCTAGACTTGGGAGTTTCCGAAAAGAGGGGACCCGAATGCGGTACCCTAACCCCGTAATTCTCGGAAACTCCCACTTCGCGGCTGGAGTCTGCAACTTGATTTCCGCATATTCTGAAACTTCCACACGGCTACGAACCTGTACTTGGAGGTTCATGGGTAGTTACAAGTAGGGTTCTAAGTAAGGAAACTTTACTTACAACACTCTTAAAACTACCCCTGAACCTCCAAGTATTCGTCAACAAAGGAAACTACGAGTACCGAGCATACCAGCTTGGTCCATAACAACTTCGGGGCAGGTCTAAGACTAAGACCTCTGGAAGCCTAAACCCAAACCCGCTAAACAATACCCTGAACCCCAAACTACACAGCCTTAAACCCCACAAAAACCGAAAGGTTCGAACCCAAAATGTGAATTTAGGGGCCTGAGTAACGATTCTTTTTGGAGGTTCCTTATTATGATTATCTTGGGCCCCAAAAATCTGTTCTAATGATGAAGGCCCCTGTATTAAGCCTAATGGCCTACATTTTCCCGCGGGTTTTCGGCCCATGGCTGAGGAAGTAGGCATTTTAGGTTTCTAGGATATTTAAGGTTCGGGGTTGATGTTGTGTACTCCGGTTCCCTTCTAGCTCGGAGTTTGTATGCCTAAGCGTGGCTGTGAATCCTCAAACGCACACACACAACACCCATTGCATTCAGGGGTTTAAGCTATTCCAGCCCTATGAAACCACAAAGCCCTATATAGGAGTTTCCAGAAATCGGGGACCCTCATATAACACCCTAAATAGTAGGATCCGCATTGTAAGGACACAAAATAAGGTACCCCCTAATTTTCGGAAACTCCCATATAAACCTAAACCCTAAACCTTAAACCCCTATAAGCCCAAAAAGCCCTGTATCTGGGGTGCCCCGGCGCATCGCGAAGGAGGATCGATGCCGGAGCTGCTGCCGGCACCAAGGGCCCTGCTGCGGCTCTTACTTGGAGGTT